AACAGAGATAATAGTAAAATGTAGTAAAATAATCAGGAAGTGATACATTTTGAGTATTATTACTTTGTTTTTAACATAATTCAATTATAAATTTATATAACTTAGTTTTTAATAATAGCTGTATTTAACAGCTGTCTCGCAAAATTTCTGAAAACTTAACCTTTGGCTCTCGCAAGCCAGTACAAGCGAGCCCCAGCAGTTTTGCTAGGAGACAAAAATGTGTGCCTAACTCTTCTTTCACTTTTTCACAGGAAGCATAATTTAGTGCAATCGATCTGTTTGGTGCGGTGAAAGTCATCTATATGTTTTTCCATTTTGAGATTACTTCCTTGGAATAGATTCCCAGAAGTAAATTGTAATGGTAAATTTGCAAGTAATCCAGAGACTACGAGAAAAATGGAACAGTTCCTGAACTGTTCTGTTTCTAAATTACAGAATCAAATAACATACAGGGGTCTGTACAGGCCAAGAAAATTTTAAGTGCTTTATATATATTCTTTGATTTAATCCTCATGACGAGCCCATGTGGTGGTTTTGTTATCATCTCCATCTACAACTAAAGATGCTGAAGTACTAGTTAAGTGACTTGGTGGAACAGAGAAGTGATGGAGCAGAGATTTGTATTCAAATCCTATGCTGGAGTGCCTCTCAATGCCTATTTGCTCAATAATCTTTCTTTTTAAACAATGAAATCATTCATATTATCAATTAACCTTTAGGCCCATTGCTACCTGCATCCCACAAACTTAATATTTTTTGTTTTTATCTCTTAATCTCGATGCGATTACACAATTGATTGTTTATTTTGTTCATTAGTTATTTAGAAAATACATAGTTTTTTCTTAAGAGAATGACTTTCTCAAACTGATACCAAATAAAGTTTTCTTCCATTGCACTGGAAAATGAACATTTGTGTGGCATTCTGATTTATTTGATATATTTTTTATTATAAAGATAATGTGTATTAATTTTTTAACACTTTGAGATACACCAAAAGAAAAATATAAAATTATTCATAATGCTCACACTTAGAGGAAAACGCTTTTATCATTTTGATATTCATTTATTCTTGCTTGTGTATGTGTGTGTGTTTGTGTGTGAGTGTGCATGTGTGTGTGTAAGTTTCTTTAAAAATTTAGCCTATTACTTCATTGTAACATTTGGCTTTATTTATTTTGTCTATATTTTTAAATAATTAAGATTCATGATTGTTTAATCTTTCTGATGAATTATTCCTTTTATCATTAAGTAGTATTTCTCTTCATTCTGTAAATGCATATCACCTTATATTCTATTTATTCTTATATTAGTCCTGCTTTATTACTTTATCACTTTAAGTAGTATTTACTCTGTATATATTTTCCCTTCTCTTCGTTTCCAACATTTCTGTTTTAATTTATTTAGGTGTGTCTTTTGTGTTTTTTAATCCTATATGATAGTGTCTCTCTTTTCATAGGTCAGTTTATACCACTGGCATTTACTGTGATTTTTGCTATATTTGGGCACATTCCTTCCATATTATTTTGTGTCTTCTGTTTAACCATGCTTTTTCTTATCATCCTTTTCTCCTTCTTCTTTCTTCTTTCTCCAGTTCTTGTGATTGATACAGTTACAGTCCCTCTTGTTTTCTCCCACTGCTTTGAAAGTTTTGGTTTTTAATCTATTCTTTATTCTTATTCTATAGTCTTAATCTCTATTCTTTATTCTTAGTAATTTCTTTTGTATTATATTCCTTGTATTCCCTGTGCTTTACATCCCTGTGACTGTTTTTATAACTGGCAATCTGTACTTCATCCTTTTCAACTTTCCACCCATCCCCCCAACCCATTTCCACTTGGCTTCCATTATTAGTCTGTTCTCTGTATGAGTTTGTTTCTGTTCTGTTTGTTTATTTTGTTTTTAGATTTCACATATAAGTGAAATCAAACGAACAAACAAAACATTAATAAAGTTTTAACATGCGCACTTAATGTGTATGGTTAAATGTGTTTTTCTTCCTATATTTGTAGTTTTTCAGTACTTGTCATCTTCCTGTTTGTGGTAAAGAGCTTAGCAAGTTTTAATATCCACTGAACTTCTTGCCTGAACTTTCATCTTATAATTATTTATCTAGAATTTTAGTTCCATTCTTTTTTAAACACAGAAATTAGTGGTTTGTTTTTTTATCCTCCACAGTGTGTTAAAATTGCAATTATATTTTACCACCATCTATGCTTACTATTGTTTCTTATCTCTCATCCTTTTCTTTTGGGTACAAGTTATTTTTTACTGAGTTTATATACTTCAGTAACTGTTTCAGAGAAGGTCTATGAGCGGTAAACACTTTCAGTATGTGTTTATGTCTTTATTGTCTAATTTTAAAATTATTATCTAAACTGGCTATAGAACTCCAGGCTAACATTTTATCTTGGAACTTTATAGATATTAGTCCATTGCCTATTGGTACTAAATGTTGCTGAATAATCTTAGTAATCTTATGTCAGACTAACTGTCATTCCTATTAAGGCAAATGCCCTTTTTTTTTTCCTAATAGGGTTTAAGATTTCTGCCTTTAATTTTCTATAGTTTTCATCCAACATATCTAGGGATGAATTTATTTTTCTTTCTCTGGCTTGGCACTTGGTGGAAACTTTCGATCTGAATATTCATGGTTTTTTTTCAGTTTTTAAAAATAATCATCTATGTATTCCTTTATATATTGCTTCTAGGCCATTCCCTCTGTTTTATTTTTCTGGAACTTCTATTAGAAGTGCCTGTCAATCTATGTTTTATGTTTCTTAACTATTCTTTAATAACTTTCCTTTCTTTTTCTTTTTACTACATTCTGTATATTTTGCTGGTTATTTTCAGTGGAAAGTTGGAAAAGAGTATCTTATACATAAGACATCATTTTACCTAAAAATTCTTTTCTCTTATTTCAACTACTCTCTTTCAATCTTTTAAAATATTATGCATTTTATAAAGGCCTCAGAAATACAGTCTGGTTTATTTAAACAATGCATCAGTCAAGGTGCTAACCCTGGGGATAGAAAGAGGTCTAAGACAAGGACTCTGACCTAAATTTAGCTCAAGGTTTTTATAATTGAGTGTGGGACAAAGGTATAAACAGATTATGTTAGTAGTGTCTGTGTGACAAGTACTATACAAGTGACATATACAGCATGAACTAAGTTTAAAGAAAAGGGCATTTGGCTCCATCTTATAAGTCAGAGAGATTGGGAGGAGATGATGCTTTAATTGGATTTTAAGAAAAGAATATAACATTACTAAGGGAGATATAGGCTAAGTGAAACACTCCCAACCACCATTTTCCTTCACTCTCAGCCAATCAGTGTGCCTTTGAGTTCACTGAAAAAATTAGGTTCATTTGATGATGGATGTATCTTTTATGGCCAATGTGTCAGTTTGTTCTAGGTGTTTCATGAGGTTGTCGTTACCTACCCTACATCTAACATATTGTTCACATTGCTCACTTGGCTTTCATATGCACCTTGCAAATGAAATGACCATATAATTTATTGCCCAAACGCAGGCATTTTTGAAGCACAAGGGGCACTATTAATAATTACACCAGGATAGCAGGCATAACTGATTATTACAGCTGCTCCTTTTATGTATCTGCTCTATCTTGTCATCTAGATTGTGGGTCCTTAAAGGCAGAGATGTGCTTTACACATCTTTTGCTTCTAGTCATTATTCTCTAATCTTTTCTTCCTCTCCTGCAATCCCAGGTAATCTCTAATATATTTTCTGTCTCTATTAGATTTGCCTATTCTGAACATTTCATTGAAATGGAATTGTACAATGTGTTGTCCTTGTGACTGGCTTCTTGCAATTAGTTTATTGTTTCCAAGATTCATACATGTTGTAGCACATATCAGTACCTCATTTCTTTTTATTGCCAAGTGATATTTCATTCTATGGATAAAGCACATTTGTTTACCTGTTAATTTGTTGGAAAACACTTGGGTTGCTTCCACCTTTTGGTTATTGTGAATAATGCTGCTTTAAAATGGTGTACAAATATCTATTTTAGTCCCTGCTCTCAATTCTTTTAGGTATATCCCCAGAAGTTGAATTACTGGGTTACATAGTAATTCTATGTTTACTGTTTTTAAGGAATGACCATACTGTTTCTCACAGTGGTTGCATAATTTTATATTCTCACCAGCCATGCATAAAGATAACAACATTTGTTGTTATCTTTCTTTTTGATTATAGCCATGCTAGTGGATGTGAGGCGATATCTTATTGTGGTTTTGATTTGCATTTCCTTAATGGCTAATGATTTTGAGCATCTTTTCATGTTCTTATTGGCCATTGGTATACATTCACTGGAAAAATGTCTATTCAGATCCTTTGCTCATTTTTTATTTGGGTTATTTGTCTTTTGATTATGGAATCTTTATAATCTACTCATATGTAGATGTGAATTCTCTATAAATCAGACGAAGCTTCAACTTCAAAATACCTTATTTTCAAGAGTCTACTCTAAGACCCTCAGTGGACTCTAAAATAGTGGAAAATTTGTTCATATGAACATATATTTTTATATGATGTGGCAAAAATGTTTTAAAATAATTATTAAGGTTGCTGTCTCTTTCCACTCTGATTTTCCTTCAGTCATACTTCCCTTCAAGTTGATTGGGGTAGCCACAGATATTTTGTATTTAAAATTTTATATTTTCGTTCTTAAAGAGGGCACTCAGATTATATAACTTTGGGCTTCACAAAGCCTGGATCTGCCCCTACTCATATGTAATAAATTCTAAGTCCTATTCTGCTGAAAGCTTTCTCTTTTTTTTTTTTTTTTTTATTCTCAAATGCTTAGTTTAAGAGTAGAAACCAAATTCTTTATATAAAATGTTCCTTCCTTTTGGCAAACTTCTGCTATGGGGAAATACAATTTTCATTCAGGTATGTAGTGGCCTCTGAGTACGTACAGAGGGTTGTAAACAACATCCTAGAATGATCTCATTCTATTTCTTCTCTCCTGTTAGCTCCTGTCATCACCACTCCTCTTGAAACAGTGGATGCCTTAGTTGAAGAAGTGGCTACTTTCATGTGTGCAGTGGAATCCTATCCCCAGCCTGAAATTTCCTGGACTAGAAATAAAATTCTCATTAAGTAAGTATTCTACCTTTTTCTGGTAAGAATGCCCACTGCTGCCTTGCGAGTTATCTTGGACATAAATGCAATCACAACATTCAGCAGTATTAAAGTTCACCTTCTAGAACATGTGAAATGAGAATTTTCTCATTTTATACATGTAAAATCTGAACTTCAGAGAGGTTAAGAGAATTGCCCAAAGCAAAAGCATTTGTTCTTGTCAGTAGGCATCACCTTTTGAAAACATTTTTGAAGGGCTCAATGGTGCTTTGATTATTGGTGCCTAGCAAAGATTAGGATATAACGTTAGCTTTATAGAACTAAATAAGTTTATTCTATTATTCAGAATTCACTCGTTTCCTTTTACCTCGACTCTACTTTCTCCATTGACAAGTCATCCATTTGTTCAATTAATCATAGCTGAAAAATCACACGTGAGGCCCTAACCTGCCATTTTTCTCGATGACCTACAGGCTCTTTGATACCCGGTACAGCATCCGGGAGAATGGGCAGCTCCTCACCATCCTGAGTGTGGAGGACAGCGACGATGGCATTTACTGCTGCATAGCCAACAATGGCGTAGGAGGAGCTGCTGAGAGTTGTGGGGCTCTGCAAGTGAAGATGAGTGAGTGAGAAAGAGAATCGTCTATTGATTTTAAAGTTGACTTGGTATACTTTGAAGCAGGCAGTAAATAGAGCCTTCCACAGACCTGGAGGTTCCGCAGCTAGACAAGTTTAAGTTCAAAATAACCTTGAGGCAGTTAATTCCACACCTCATATTCTTGCCATCAACCACCATCCGAAAGGCAAGCCTCTTAGTTCTCTCTCCTCTCCATTTTCTTGCCTTTACTTAGCTCTTTATTTGTTCCACCCTGACTGAGGAGCCTCCCTCTTAAACCTCCCACCTGTGCCTTTAGAACAGTTACTTTACAATCATACACCCTGCCTTTTTTTTTAATCTCTAAGTTCTTAACAAATATTTCTTCTACCCTTTTGCTTTATTTCAAGCTTGATTTTTCTTGAGAGTCTTTTCACACTTGAGTGACTTTTCTGCTTAAATGGAGGTTATTTTTTCCCCCACTTCATGTCCACAAGTCTAGCAAGTATTCACAGCTTATCTAGCCCTTGTTACTGCATTTGAGCCATTATACTGTGTATTCCTGTGCAAAATCTTTCCTCTCATAATGACTTATGCCATCTGACCATTCTCTCTTCAAACTCTACTCATCAAATCATCTTCTCAATTCTAGACTCTCCCCTACATTTATCAAAGACTTTGATTCCAAGCTTATTATCTTTCTACCCACCCCTACTCCTGCTGTCATCCTAGGGGATTTTAACAGTCGTGAAACAGAACCACGAGCCACTTCGTCCTTACAATTTCTTGACGTCCACAATCCAGTGATGTTCACCTTAACTCTTTATCAGCCTACCCAATCGATGATCGGTCACCCCCAGGAAATGAACTGTATTTAAAATCTTAGACTCCAGTAGTTCACACTCTAAACAAGGACACTTCTATTTCCATCTCTTTTTGATGTAGGAAGCAGTTTCCCACACTTATGATTTGCATCCAAAAAAGAAGGCACAAACTCCATCTGTCTCTTTATCAACTAAACATAGAGTCAACCTCTTTCTACTCCCTTATTTCCACTACATACTATCACTGACCCCCCTCTCACTGACCCCCAGATGGGACTTCATTCCTCCCTTACTTAGTTCTCTCTCCAACATGGTATTCTATCATCAAGCACTCCCTTATCAGAATCCTCAAATCTCACGACCTTCTATACTGGAAGTAGCTGCCGCTTACCAACTGTCATCCTTGTAATAATCTAACTTTTATTTTCTCCTAACACCACACTACTGATTGGAAAAAATCACATAAACGTGAATACTGGCACCATGCAAATTAAAGGAATCCAGTTCCACCAGAGACCTTTTTGTTATTGTTGTTGGTGGTTTTCATCACTATTTCTTCACCTTTTATCTTTTTATTTTGGTGTAATTGTTTTTGCTGGAGGAAGTCATTAGCTGCTTCTTCTCAGAGTCTGAGCATGTGAGATATGTGTTCTGAGTCTTGGCATGTCAGAAAGTCCTTACTTTGCCCTCACTCTTGGGTGATAATTTGGGTACAGAATGAGAGTTTAAAAAGGCTTTCTCCTTAGCTTTTTGTAGACAATTATTCATTATTATATGACATTCTGGCAGATGAGAAATCTTTTTCTTATTTTTTTTACAGGTGAATCTGATGTTCATCTTTCTTAAAAATTTTAGGATTTTTCTCTTTATTTTTAGACTTTCTCATATTCACAAGAATATGTTAGGTGTGTATTTTATTTATTATTCTTACTTAGTTTTAGGTGGATCTTTTTGACCTAATGATCAAAAGTGAGATTTTTTTTTTCAAAATGAGGTACATTTTTTTTCTCTTTCTCCTCTTTCTCTCTCTCGTTCTTAAACTCTTAAGTAATAGATATTAGATCTCCTTTTTCAATTTGTCATGACTCCATTTTTTTCATATTTTCTACATATCTATCTTGATATTTCACCTTCTTAAAGATTTATTTAACTTTTCCTTCTATAGCATGAATTTGGTCTTCAATATGACCATTCTGCTATTCTGCCCTTATATTGATTACTTTGATCTTAAAAACCCATATTTTTAATTTCTAAGAATTACTTCTTTTCTAATTGCTCCTTATTTTTTGGTAGCAAACTATATATATTTTATGATGCAATATTCACTCAAGTCTCTGTTAAATATTAGTAATGCATTTCTTTTTTATTTTCTTCTTTCCCCTGATTTATTTCTGCTTTCTTCAGGATAAGTTTTTTATTTTATTTTGGTTCTTTTCTGTTCATGATTTTTCTCAAATGCTTATTAATCTTTTATGTTTGATCATACTTATAAATAAAGTCTTAGATTAATTAGAATAGGTCCCTAATGAGGCTAGTGGGACATTATGGGATAGCTGATTCGAGGATTCTATGAGTAAGTGGGTAGAGATGTATCTACAAGCAGTCTTTCAGCATGTGGGGCAGTGAGAAAAATCAAGTAAGAAAGTTAGGATGCTCTCATCTGTTAAATAATGAAGTCTTATTTCTAGAGACAGAGCATATTTACATATTTTACTAATTTGTGCTGCTACCTTTCCTCTGAATATTTCTCCTAATCTCTCTGGCACAAAATGTTCTTATTTTGGTTCTATCCTAAATCCTCTTTTCTTCTCTTCTTTTCTCCACCCTCTCCTTAGAAAAGCTCATCCATTTGTGAAGGTATACACTGATGTGACCGTCCCAACTGTTAAAATTTTGGAGTGCTTCCACACTACTTCCTGAGACCTCCAAGGTCTCTGCACCCATCGCTACTCTAATTATTCCAGGACCTTCCCCAGAAACTCTAAATTCTTTATGGTCAGTCAACTAAGATATCGGTGACAGCATAGAAGAATCTTTCCAGCATCCTGTCTCAATACGATGACCACTTCTGATTCATCAGTGTTTGTGCCTCCATCCAAATTATGTTCCCTTAGAGTGGAGAATCCATGCTTCTACAACAATACATACTCAATTTATTCTTAGTTTACTTTATATTCAATTTCCCTTAAGGGTTCTTCCCACTACTCACCCAACAGATCTATTTCACTGAGAAAAATAGAGTTATTTACTTTTAACAAAGGTTCCATGCCTAAGACATTTGTGACTCAGGTTTGCCATATGGATCAGTTCTGGGAAACCAACAGAAGGAGTGGATAACACTTTCTTTAACTATATTGTAAGAATATCAACTCCTAAGCTAAGTTTTGCCAGCAGTTATAGGACCACCCAACTCACAATTAAGGTGCCTGGACATTATCTAAAAGTAGGTATTCATTGCTGATGATCGGAACTGTCACGCTTTAGATAACAGGCAAAGTGACAAAACTGACATTCTTCTGTAATATGTTCTAAAGCCTGTCTTGTATTTTTGCCACAATGCAAGGCCAAACCACCTCTAAAAGTCAATAAGTATCTAGATTAAAAAATATAACATGCGGTCTTTGCAAATATCACAGCCACCACCAAACCAACTCCCAACACACATACACAAACACATAATTCAAGTACAAGAAAAAAAATCATTTCATACTCTCCTCTGTCAAAATAACAAATTGATTATGGCACATGACCTGAAAGAAATAAAATGCATCTCTTTCTCTGTAGTCTCTCCTGCAAAGACAGTCCCCTGTTTTGTATCTGTAACATAAGATTACTAAGAACATAAATTTAGTTTTTATTATTTTATGAATGTTTCAAGAAGTAAAATAACTGGTGTCCTGAACTTGTCAATTCTTCTATATATTAGATTTAATAACTTCTTCCTCTGAAAGCTTAATACTGGAGAATAAAAATTATGTGACACAAACTATTTTTTCTGAAAGAATTAATTTAAGAGTGTTTCATAGAATAGTAAATCACCCAAGTTTACTTCGTAGAGTTACCATAAATCGTATGACAGAATTTCTCTGATTATTAATACAACAACATCTGGTTTACTTTCTAGGGGATAAATGTGTATAATTTTTAGTCATCAGATTTAACAGTCAAATTAAAATGGAACTAAAGGGAAAGTATGTTATAACTCAGAAATATATGAAAAATATAAGCTTAAAACATTTTTCCAAATGTTTTCATATCTGTTTTTGTGAATCAAGTAATGTTGAATTGTTATGGTGACAGCTTATTTTATCAACTTTTTATTAACTATCTTTTAAAGTGAAGAATATTGATAACTTTAAACTCCTAATATGTTTCACAAATATATGTTTTTCAAGATATTAATAAAACAGAGATAACCTAAAATTTTAAAAATGACTTATGTTTTACATCCACTAAAAACCTGTCTTAGCACTTGGTGAATTTGTAATATAATATGCCTAAAATTATTCTTAAAATGGATATTTAGAATTAAATAGAAAGTTAGAAACTCTAAGTTTAATAAAGCCATATTCTCTTTTTAATTTTGAATTTTTATTTCCCTTTAGAACCTAAAATAACTCGTCCTCCCATAAATGTAAAAATAATAGAAGGATTAAAAGCAGTTCTACCATGTACTACAATGGGCAATCCCAAACCATCTGTGTCATGGATTAAGGGAGATAGCACTCTCAGGGTAAGTGATTATTATGTTTTAAAAAAAAGCATATACGACATATTTTCAAATAAAACAATCCATTGCAAACTCTGTTACACACTTACAAACTTCAATATAAGATTTTTTCCGTGTGTAACATTTTAACCAAATTTAAATCTTTCTATTTCCATCTATGCAAATCATAAGACATTCTGGTTGGGGCTGGCTAGAGAAAAAACAAGATGGGACCCGTAGTATTAGGGATGAAAACAGAAACAAAGCAAAAGCAAAGCTAGAGCCTTTTTTGTTGGTTGCTTGGATGACTGGTTGCTTGGTTGGCTGAACATTTATTTTTTAACATTGAATCTTGGAGACTCAGGAAGCAAAAAAGATGGAACTAAAATTCAGGCTTTAGACCTGTTAGTTTCTGGGAGGAGAGAGAGAAGTGAGGTGTAAAAGAAATGAGAATATTCTGGAGATAAAATAGAGTGTGAAGAGTCAAGACTGCTGAACAAGCAAACATTTTGATGAATACTTCAATTACAAAGAGTAGTCAAATTAAAAATGTATTATTCATGTGCTTATTTTGTACCACTTTTGTATCTAATGCCTATATAATAGAATATTCCATGGGGAATACATAGGTATTGATATATGTCAAATAATTGAAATAAAGTATGCAGTCAATTAGCTTTGTTTTATTTAAAATAAAATGCATGAAATGCTTATGATAATCTATATAATTCTCTGGCTCTTTTTTTGTTCTAAATATCGATGCCCTTCCAACAATAACAGTAAGGGCTGGCTCTATGTATGTTACTGAACTTAGAGTACCAGAAGAAAACATAAATGTAATATTTTAACTTCAAAAATAAATTTTTGTATTATTTGTAGAACTTTCCATTTTTTTCAAAGGACATATATTCTTTTAAGGATACTATACAGTGTGTGCAGTATATATGGTAGTGAAAAGCAATGCTTTTAATCAAACAGACTTAGATATGAATTTTAGGAAATCAAATAAGCCTTGGTGTCATCATGTGATGAAAGAAAATAGAAATAAACTATATCTTATGGGATTATTATTTAAATTAATTTATGTAATCTTGTATTATCTCATTTAAGATTATATGTTGTACATGATAAGTGCCAAATAAATGTTGAAATGATATTTTTGATGATGACAGTAATGACAATAACTTGATGAAATGTTGCAAATGTGTCCTTGTTAGAGCCACAGACATTTTAAAATTCATGTCCCTATCCCTGGCAGGAAAATTCCCGCATTGCAGTTCTTGAATCTGGGAGTTTAAGGATTCATAATGTGCAAAAGGAAGATGCAGGACATTATCGATGTGTGGCAAAAAACAGCCTTGGGACGGCATATTCCAAATTGGTGAAGCTGGAAGTTGAGGGTAAGCAGCTCCATTCCTTCCCCTTATAGTGTTACCACAGGCCTCACATTCTACCATGAAGGCTGTACTTCAGCTTGCAAAAGCAGAGATGTAAGTAATCCAGTTCCCTCAACTGTTCCAGTTATTAGACTACAAGGTCAAGACCGTGAAAAGAATAACTGAAAAGAGAAAGAAAATTTCACTATTGTAATAGGTCATGTTCCATCTACTATCTACAATCACCAATAGTAACAGATTAAATTCTCTGTGACACTAAAACAATAAGACACCACTTTAGAATTTCTGCCTGGCTTGGACAATTGTCCCTTGTTTATAAATTGGAAGACGATCATTTGATTTTTTGCAGTATGTAGACGTGACTTTTAAAAAGATATGAAAAGAAAAAGAGTAACGTTTTTCAAACTGCATTCTGTCACAAAGGGTTGAGAAAAATAAAATGCTGACTCAAATATATAATGAAAAATGGTCCTAGCTCTATGAGTTACATTGTCAAAATATTTTTCATTTTTTAAAATGTTCTTTTGTAGTCAACTAATTCAACAACTGCTTGGGAAAAGTCTTCACTGAGAAATCAGAATCCAGATAGGGCTAGCTGTCCTGTCCATTTGGTTGTGGGATCCTTCTTGACCTAAAATTATATCACATTTTGCTTGAAAATAGAAACTACCAGCACAGCTGTGCTAGGTGAGTCAACTGAGTACAAAACTCTTCCCAGCTCTTCCTGTTACAAGCCATAGACTTAACCTATCTGTTTCCAAGTTTTCTCATCCATACAGTGGGGTCTGTTGTGAGTACTCCATGAACTAAGATTTTGATAGTATTTAGCAGGATATCTGACCCTTTTTAAACACTCAATAAGTGTTGACTGTAATAATACCACCTATTTTTCTACTTTTATCTGATTGGTAAGGTGATTGGACTATTACATATGGCACAATTATATTCTCTTTCAATTGAGAGAGATTTCTAGGATTTGTCGCAGCTTATTTTGATTCCATCTTATTCTTAAGCCAAAATTTATTCTTTCCTACATCTCTTCCTTCTTAACCTTACAGTTTTCTATTAGCTCCTTTAAGATTATTTTTATTTCCTCTTCTTCCTCTCAAAACTTTAATGATCTCATTTCCCACATTCACTTCTACTTGAGCTAACATATTTTTATCATGCTATTGCATCAACTGCTCCTAAAATTTCCATTAATTCTTCATGGAAAAGAATGCAGTTGGTGGGAGTAGAGGCTGTCAGATATAATATAGATATATTTTCAGCATAGTTACTATAAATTAATATCTCCTAAATTATCAATGATATATAAAGCTCGATATACAACAACCAATTGATGTTAATTATTCAATGAAAAATAAACATACAAACACACTCAGTTACACACTTAGACACGTCGAATATCTGCCTGGATTCAGTGTTTCCTTGAACTATATGTGGAATGGTATAAAATGCTACCCGTTTATATACAATATCATATTATATACTTTTCAATATATGAGCTTGTATATTATAATATATAATACTGATTTTTTTCAGGCTATTGTCTTCATAGATATTGAAATCATTTGCTTTAGCTTTGGTCTAGAGAAAATTATCAAAAATTTCAGTTAGTTGGAGTCCAATCACATAGTTTTGTCTTGCCATAGTTTTGTCTTAATTTTTGGATCCTGCTTATCAGTAAAACGGAATACTTTTTAATTTTTGTATCCTGCTTATCAGTAAAACGGAATACTTTCTTCTTTCTTCCTAACATTTAAATTGTCATGCTCATGCTCATTGCTTTAACAGTTAATAACTGCTAGTGGTTTTATTAAACTTGCTAGTATTGAGCGCTCATAATATCATCATTTAAAGTTACTCTAACAGTAGATAAGATGATGATTTTAGCACACATGTCTATTTCTACTCTATCCTAGTCCCTATTCAAATTGTCAATATACATGAAAATTTGTGACATGATTAACACAATTGCTGGTACATAATATGAATTTAATAAATGGAATCAACTATAATTATTACTATTGGAACATAAAAATTACAGCAAATCTGTATTGGTTGTAGCTCTGAATGGTTGGCTTCTACTTAAAGAAATAGTTGAGGCATTTCCACAAGATATATCTATGCAGACATGACCTTTTTTAAGGAAGAGTCAAGTCAACCATCAACTCAGAACAGGTGAAAAAGCAACAGAGAAGCAACTGAAAGAATCCTAAAAGTGCCTGCAAATGCCTGCTAGGTTGGCAATGGTGAGGGCTAAAGATCAATCTGGGCCATGGTCCATCAGGGCAGATGGGCATTTATTACATACTGTGTCAATAAGTCCGCAAATTAGTTTGAGCAAATTAGAATGAGAATGCCATAAGTGCCATCTGATGCTGAGCTACACTTATTGCAAATGGCTATGTTAGGAAAAGATAGGGTTTTGTCTACCATTGCTAGCTTCTAACAAGGATAAGCATGCCAGGCTATAGATTTGGTATGGTGTGTTCACTAAGTCTTAGATGCTATGACAAACATGAAAGAAACACCCTTCAACATGGAAGTAAAGCTCTCTTTCTAGATTGCCATCCTCAGCCTGCTGGACTTCTAAAATGGCAAAGCAAAGATATTCTACCCTTCTGCCTTATCTAATAAGGTTCAGACAGTGACATAAAAAATTATTGATGGAACCACCTAACTCAAGCATGGTCAAACTTGGATATTTTTCTAAAAGGATAAGCACTGGGATGTCTAACATTTTTAAATGCTAAATGGCTTATATGGATTATTTTATTTAATCCTTATTGTACCATTTTAGGAAAATGAGGAATAGTGATGATAACCAACTCAAGGCTGTACAGATCGAGGTGTCTAAGAAATTAAGTAATGTTGAATACTCTTTTTCTATTAAAGAACAAGATAATCATGTGCAACATTGTCAAGAATAGTGTCAGAATGGGGATTATGGAAGAAGCCAGAATTCTGTAAATAATGGAGAATAGGAGCGAAAAAAAAAAAAAAGAAGAAGAAAAAGAAGAAGAATCAGTCAGGTATAGATATATTTTTCAATAAATTTGGCAGGGAAAAAAGCAGACTCAAAAAAAAGTAAGCAGTGGTTGAGAGTATATATGGCATAGAGGTAGTGTTGTTTTGCAAGATTTCTCTTTTTAAAAGATTGAAAATGTTAAAATATTAATGAGAGGGAGCCCAGGGAAAAGGAAAATTTGAACATATGAGAGGGGGTGAAAATTCAAGGGACTATTGGTGGAGCTTGACAAGGCAAAAGGGTGTATATTCAGGGGACAAGTGATGCGATGAACTTTATACAGAGAGTGACCACATGTCCCAGTTTTCCCAGGACATTCTGGCTTACACCTGTTGTCCTGGAATAATTATTAATAGAGTCCCTCTTTTACTTTCAAAAGTATCCAGGCTTTGATGATAAATTATTATATGACCACTATACTTAGAAAGGAAAAGAGAACTTCCTTCCTTGTAATAGGAAGAATGGAGAAGGGAGTGTATTCCCATATGAATAAGTAAATAAGTTTAATGATGGCATTTGAGAATGCTCTGTTCTGATAGTCTCTATTTCATCTAGGAAGTAGAAAGTAAGGTTATCTTCTGAAAATACTTCTGTAAAGGGGGGCAGAGGGATGAGGAGAGTAGAAGGTTTTAAAATAGCTGTGGGGAATGGGAGAGATGACTCATAAAGGAAACCAGGATTCCTGAGCAGCATTAAGTAGAGAACGGGTCGTTAATATAGAGTGGCGTCAATTTGCCTACTTGCAGGGTTCCCCCGCCCCCCCTCCCCCGCCCCAGTATTGCTCAGCAGTACACGTAGACATTTAGAAAAAGCCAAACCCAAAGGCTCAAGATGCAAGCACTAGAATTTCACCAGGAATGAAAATAGGGCAAAGGATTTGAGAATATTACAAGAGAATGGTCGAAGCGATGAATCATTGAATCTTTATGTACCAAACATGCAAACCTAGGATTAGACACATAGCTCCAGCATTTTGACAGACAAGATAATATGAAAAGCTTCCAACTATAAATATCCAGAAATGCTGAGTTAGTTGTATAACACTCAAGAATAAGGTGCAAATCTCCAGAGGCCAGGAATTAATAGGAATTTTAAAAACAGAGCAGTAAGCTTATGAACTGATCCTACATTATCCTAGAGGTAAGGAGAGCTATGCCCACCTCTATAATCTAGAATACTGGTTTGAAGGCTCTTAAGAACAGGAGGAAAGGTTTTTGAGCTGCTGCGAAGTGGAGGTTAGCACTGAGACCCTTGCATAAACCTGAGAATCCCAGATGCGAAAGGAGCAGAAGAATTCCATCCACAGGCAAAGAAAGACAACGGAAGTTTGTCTTTCTCTACCTGAATTCTCGGTGTAAGGGAGGAAAAAATAAGGCTTCGTATGAATGAATATTCAACACTCAAGACTATATATCACATAAGCTTGGTATTCATACTGCCAGTATAGTCTAGGAATTGCCAGCTGGAGAAATTAACATAAAAATTGATACCAGGCCAAAAATTTAACAGCAACATAAAAAACTCTAAAGAGAAATATCTTATGCAGGTTAGATAGGATTTTTATAATTAAACCACACTAAGGATGAGCTCACAATGCAAAATTATAGCATCTGCAGAAAACAATCTTTCCAGAGTGAGAGTTAGCTGACACAATATGCAAAGGCGCTAAAACCCAGGAAATTCAGTTAACAACACAATATAATAGAGATTCTAAAATAAATGTTTAATTTAAAAGACGCGAAAGGAAGAATGAAATAAAAAAAAAAACAAAGAAAAATACATTAAGAAGAAGGAAGGCAGTTTAGATAATTTTAAATAAAAAGTGATTACAATTAAAATTCAATGGATAAGTAATAACATATTGGAGATAAAGAGATAATTCATACATTAGAAGTCACTTCTTCAGAATTTAGAATTCAGTGTAGAGAGACGGTAAAGATGAAATCGAATTTAGGAAATAATTAAGGAT